GCAGACAAAATTTCAGATCAAAATATCGTCATTCGATTTGTTAGTGTATACTATGCTATAGGCTAAAATTTCAGTAAAATGGCTATAGCTCTGGAGAGAAGACCTATGGGTTCTTATCCTGTTGATGTTTTTCATACCGCACTGGGGTCTAATTTATGCAAAGAGTTCGAACTCAAAAACAATTAATCACCTGGAGTACTTTCCTCGTAAGACTAGCACTGACTCCAAATATCAGTTCAAAATGTTCGAAACGATGGTATTTCCAACGAGTGCTAGCTAAGTTTATCGAGCGCTATAGCTCAATCCAGTGGAGCAGGGAGGTCAAGGGTGATTGAACCTTGTCGAACCTTCGAAAAATTATTGCAGAGTTGATTTATGAAAATCATGCAATGGCTCGGTTCTGATGAATTCTTGTGAAACACGATCTGAAAGGAGTGTTGAAGTGTTTAGGGGTAGAAATTTGGACCCACCCCCCCTCCCCCCACAGACCGTGACAGACATTTTAATTAATTAATTACTATGTAATTAACTAATTACCCATCACAGACCGTGACAGACAGGGCTCTGGACACATCACAGACCGTGACAGACAGGGCTCTGAACTCATCACAGACCGTGACAGACAGGGCTCTGAACCCATCACAGATCGTGACAGACAGGGTTCTGGACCCATCACAGACCGTGACAGACAGGGTTCTGGACCCATCACAGACCGTGACAGACAGGCTCTAGACCCATCACAGACTGTGACAGACAGGCTCTAGACTAGAGAACTGCGTGACCATGATTTTTGGTCACGGTCACGCCGCAGTCACGACGCATCTAGTCACGGTCACATCATGGTCACGAGAGACTTGGTCACGGTCACGGTCACGAGAACTTTTCAGATTTAATTACGACCACACTAATAAGGCTTTCGAAAAAAACTTTCCTAAACACTAATATCGTCAAAATTGCCTCCAGTTCATCAATTAGCCGCGATTTTTTGACAAAAACTGTGAAAATTTGACAAAAAATGTTGGATTTTTGCATGATTTTGGCAAAGACCAAAATCATAATCACAAGAAATCTGGTCACGGTCACGTCACGGTCACGTCACGGTCACGAGAGACTTGGTTACGGTCACGGTCACGATCACGGTCACGGTCACGGTCACGCGTGACCGTGACCATTTTGCAGACCTCTAATATAGACATATATGGATAAATATAACTATATATCGCGATGACTCATACGACGAAGTCAAAGAACAAAAGAAATATAAAAATACAAATATTGTTACTATATAATATATTTTGTGTCAGTTTTTCGCTTTGTCTCACTATATTATTTGTTTTTTCCAGATTATATTAATATTACGAACATCTATGCGCTGCTAACTTTTTAAACAATTTCGATATTTCAGCTGATCTATGGCCTACTAATTCTAAGAAATGATTGCTTTTTAACATGAATAGTACATATTGAGAAAATATTTTTTTAATAAAATAATTTTATATTTTTGTTCTCTCATCAATTTTGATTTTTTCAAATTTAACTTAACATCTTATCAAAAAATATTGAAGAAATTTTTAAATTTTTAAAAAAATATGTTAATTAGAATTTGAAAAAAAATATATAAAATTATTTTATCAAAAATATTTTCTTAATAGGCACTATTCATATCGAAATGCAATCATTTCTAGAATTAGTACCTTGTAGATCAGCTGAAACGTGCATGTAAGAAAGATAGATGCAAGACGCTTCTCTCATTGGTATAAATCATTCAACCAGTAGCAAGTAAGACACTCGCGAGTATCTAAAATCGGTCATCCATAGACAAATCAACCATCAGAAATAGCTCAAAATATCTTGTACAAGCAGACAAACTGTCTTGTCTATACACATCATAAGTCTTGATTTTTTAGAGCGCAAAAATTGTCTCCTTTTGTAAGCACGTGAAATTTATTTCTAATGTTTTTTGGTAGAACGAAAGAAATCGATAGGTATATCGTTTTTTTTTCTGTTTCTCTTCATGCAGCATCATCACGTGCAGCAAACACAATTCAACTAATAGAATGCTTCAGCCAGTAATTTTTGTCGTAGAAAAGAAAAACAAAAAAAAAAAACGAGAACAGAGCCGGTCTGGATGGTAGGTTTTGTCAATGAAAAAAACATCAGTATGTTTTATCACCATAATGTGATCTTTTGTTTTTTGTTTTTAGATTAGTTTTAAGTCTGATATACGTCTTTATGAAATATGAATGATAGCAATAGTTATTTTATTTTGATTATTATTTGTCTTCAAACACTTTATAATTGTATTCTTGCAATAATTGGACAATATATCTATGGATATTTTCTACGAACTTATTATGATATGTATCAAAATTGGACAATTATCAAGAATTCATCTTTGAAAATCGATATATTTGAATTAAATCGAGAACAATGTATAGAAAATACAACAGATATTTCAAATGGTTCTGCTCAAATATGAGCACAACAACAATCAGCTGATTTAATATTTCAAGCAACTCTATGGAGAGCATTTCCAGTCATTATCATTACATATTTATTCGGTCTCTATACTTCACAATTAAATCGACGATTAATATTAATATTGTCTATAATAGGAAATGCTCTTCATGTGATTATTTATCAAGCAATCATTTATAAAAATCTAGCCGAATATTGGTGGTATATATCAGCTTTTATTGCCGGTTTGGCAGGTGGCACTAATATTCTAGGTTATTATTGATATTTTTTCGATTAATTTGATTGTTTTCTTTCTTCGATTTAGGTATTGTAATCAATTTAGTAATCACAGAGAGTACTGAAGAAAATGAACGATCATCACGTTTTGTACGTTACGGTGCTATGACAACAGCTTTAT